CATTTTAACAAGTCCGGAATAAATCGTCGATGATTAGGGAAATTCTTCAAAAGTTTATTGTTACTCAGCAGCGTAAAAATTCTTTGATATTGTGGAAAATAAAATTTAATAGCCGTAAAATTTTACTTTCTCACGGCGACTAGTCTAAAGATGGCCGTCTCCTGGGATGTTACATCGTGTACTCTGGTAGATATTGACCGACGTTTCACGAGGCGTTAGTTAGTAATCCCCTCTGAAACGTCGGTTTTGTTCTCGTTACACATTCGTATGGCAGCCATATTACATATGGTGAGTTACTAAAAAATTACTTCTTTGCAGTGGCTCTCGTACTGACGTTCATGAAAATGGAAATTCTTCGAAACGATATTGAACGGTGATACACGCATACACTTCGCCTCAGTCTGCAAATATTCTTTTTTATTTACAACCTAGACCGCCGACCGAATAGACTAGAAACGAAAGTCTGCAACCACTGGACTATAGGTTACGCATACACAAATTCCACAGAATAGAGTCTTTAAGAAGCTAATAGTCGGTCATCCTTTCAAGAAATTCAAAGACATCCAAATCACCTAAAGTTTGTATTGTGTACACGAGAGCCCACCACTGGTATCCTAAGCCAGATGAATCCAGTTTACATCCTCCCAACAGATTTATTTCAGATTAATTTTAATATTATCCTCCCACCTATGCTTAGGGCTCCCTATGAATGTTTTACTCTCATACTAGCCATGTAACATTTTCCACAATTCTGCATAATAGAAACAGTTGCATTTTCAACAATACACCGTACACTCTTAAACTTATTAAGCTACGTAACAGCCCATATGAAGCTAATAACTCTATCTGTTCCCTGAAAATTATCACACAGCCGTGTTCTTTCCTCGTGTGTGTTGCATAATTGATTAAGCCAATAATCAATATCCACGATGTGTGTCTTCTCAGTTTACTGACCACACTCTCCCTTTTTCAAGCCCCCGCTTTGTTGGGAGACCCAGGGCATGGAATCATGTTTCTTCTAGAGTTCGCATGACGGTGGGGTTTCGTAAATTCGCCTCCGAACTCAGTGGACTGCCCATGAGACATTGGCTTCGACTCATATTTATGGTACACATAAAACATGGAACGATGGGTCTTAGAAAAGTGCCAAAGTCAAGAATAAATGAAGCCTTAGCGCCACTTATGCCGGCCTTGATGGACTGGTGTTTAATAAGTTACTGGGACAACTTCACTCCACGTAAAGGGAAATGAGATTTGTAGGATTTGAGGTTCTCATGACAGTGAGTCTGAAGATGGCTGTCTTCTGGGTTGTTGCACCGTGTAGTCTGGTAGAAGTTTACCGACGTTTAACAGGTCTTTGCTGCCTCCATTATCAGGGTGATAGTTACTCGTCGTTGTTGAACTTCTACCAGAATACACTGAACAACAATCCAGAAGACAGCCATCTTCGAAATGATATCTGATGAGAACTCAGAGAAGACCGATATTTCAGACATAAAAGCTAAAGCTGGAACAGTTAAGAGAACCCAAACCGTTATTATTTTGTTTTCAATTGTGGTAATGATGGTATTAATTATTAGTGAATTAACAAGGAAGGAATAATACTTTAGTATGTTAGGTCGCTATGTTGGATTATGGTTTCGAATCCTGCTCAAGGTATTCAGTCTCAGAATTTATCTTATCCGTTGTCTAAAAAGTTAAGAAGGCTTATACCGTGAAAGTCGAAGAAAAATAAACTTTGTTGAGAATCGACGTCTAGAGTGAAAGTGCAATTTCGTGACATGAAACACTAATAATATTATTTCTTATATATGCGCACTTCTGGTTGATTGCAGTGGCGATCATAGTTCTGATGGTGGAAACAGTGGGTACTTCTGAAACATTGGTCAATTTCTACGATACTACACTACTCAAAATCCCAGAAGACAAGTCATCTTCAGCAGATGTAGATGCCTTTATCGCTTGCAATGTTAAGGAAAGTCGTAGGAAAACAAATATTTCATTCGTTTATCTGACATTGTCAAATGTTGATACTTCGCTTATTTCGCATCAAAGCACAAACAAAAAAGGCTGATAATGGATAGGGAGGGAAATGTAGAACTGATGGGATTACAACGTCTGACAGCTCGTCCTGGGGAAGCTACAAAGCATCTACTCTCTTGAGGAGAGAACAGTGCCAATATTTGCCCAGTCATTTATCGAGGACTTTGCAGGCCGTGGTATGTCGTCGGTATTCCATCAGATTACGCAACAGAGATGGTGAGAGAGGAGAAGAATGGAAGAAAACAAAACAGAAGAACAAACATGTAGGCATTCATATATATACATCACTCACATTCAGATTGATTCATCTGGTTGATGACAGCGACACCTGGTGGGGCTTTGTCAACACGGCAATGACCCTTCGGATTCCACAAGATATAGGTTTATTATTTGCTTTTCAATAAAGACTATGCTCCATGGAGCAGTCGTCCTGGTGATGGAGGCAGTAAGGACATCTGACTACACTGCGCAACTAACCAGATGACAGCCATATTCATACGATACGAATATATGCGATATGACCATTGCTACTCCATTCCATGTTGTTTGTTCTCTACTCAGTTTACTGGCGTGAACGGCAGAACGCTTTAGTCGGTATACGTAGCCCGTCTGACCCTAGCAACACTCACCCGTCATAGTGAAAATTCCGACGAAGAGCCCAATGCTCCTCCCGGCAAGCATGACCTCCTCCTCGGAGTCATCGCCAGACTGCTTCTTGCGAGCCGCCCAGAGACCCACACCCAAGATCAAGACGTAGAAGAGTACAATTGAAATAATGCCCGCGATGTTAATCATCCTGCTAGCCTTGCTGGAAAATCAGATCATATAAAATTGTAATATTATTTGCACATTCATTGATTCTCAAATTATACCACATACGTACTGTACAGGTAGGTTGTCTTGGCAGCCGAATGACTAACTAGTGGGGTGGCGTGTCGG